CTTTGGCCCTCTAGCCTCAAGGCTAAGACCAAGGCTTAATCCTAAAGACAAAAGCCCTCTGGTACAGCATTACAACTCGCATATAGCATGTCACATCATAACAAATTGCTCGTAGCAAAAGACACATGGTCCATCATGGTAACACAATGTCAAAGTGCACAAATGTAGGGTGTTTTCCCTCCCTCATGACAAAACACGAATCAGGTACTGCAGACAGCTGAAAGCTGAACTTTAGTAGTATATCTGCAGACCAACAAACTTCCAAATTTACCTAGAAAATGTAAACAATGATGGGTCCTGAAGCGCAATGCCCTAAAAGAGCATGAAATTGAATGCTCAAGGTCAAGACACAAGCTTTTGCAAATAAAAAAAGGCTGAGGCCAAGGCTTTAACACCTAGTCTTAAGGCCAAGGCTGTGAATCAAGGCACTAAACATACATCACTAGTATTTGACCTAAGGCTTACATGTACCTTCCATGACAAATTCTCTGTAGAGGCGTCCCTTGCAGGATCTTGAAGAAGTCCTTCTTATGCCTTGTTCTTCCATCCAGTCCCCTCCATCACTGCTTGATGGCAAGTCTAATACATCATCACAATGATCTTCGTCAGTGCTACATGGCACTGTGGACCCAAGGGTACTGAACTTATCAGATTGCTGGCAAGAACTGTACCACGGTTCCACTTCCACATTCTTTGTTAATCTTGGTGGGTTTTTACTCCCATTAGTGACAGGTGTGTCCTTAGCAGGTGACTGTATCCAGTCATTATCTGTTGTTTCCCCTGTGCAAAATACATTCATTTTCTGCTCATGACTGATGGGATCTGTAGCACATGATGTAGCTCTGTTTGGTGGATGAACTGTCTGGTTCTCTCCACCAAATGTTTCCAGTTTGCCACCTGTTACTTTCTTGCAGCTTGTCTCATCAATCAATGTAAAGTTGGCATTGTAGTCATTCTTGTAGAGAGGTGGAGGTTCATCATGGGAGGTTGGTTGTGTGGGCTTGCACTCAAGGTCAAGTTGATCTGAGCACATCTGTAATTGGAAACAATACATAGGTCTGCACACTCTGGTACCAGCAATGGAATGTGTGCATTAATACCGAGCAACAACGCCCTGTTAAGGCTAATATACAACAGTCAACATCATAATCCTAACAAATTATCAATGGTTGAATTCAACAGGTTGGCTGATATGACGGACCTTGTTGAGAACTGCTGTAACTTTTAATCTCAATCCAAAAAATTGTAACTTAAGATCTTCCATTTAAATGTAGACATTTTAACAGTCAGTTGTTTGACTATGGCTGAAGGACAGATTAGTTCAACATATATGATGCTTCTTCAAGAGGGTTACAACTTTTATCATGCACATTCCGTGGAAACTTGGACCAAGTTTTAAGGACGGAGTGCAACAGTATTGCTTGGGCATTGGGAGGCACAATCTGTATGACTCACCTCGGCAAACTCAAAGAGCTTGGACTTGGGGGACTGAGGTGATGGAGATGTCTTGGCTTCTGGCTGACTCACAGGGGTTGATTTACTCATTGTCTGCTCACCAGCGAGTAGTAATAAACTCAATCCTCCCATATCACATGGATCTGCATGCATGTGGGAGGATAAACCAGTCACTGTCAACACTATGCATGATTATATTGGCCTACAAGTTATTCATTTATACCCTTCAAGCAAGTAGGCCCCTCATTGTGGACATCCCACTTTTAAAGAAACAGTTGGCCATGTTGAACGTTCGATAGTTTGGGTTGAGGAAGTTTTGTTTGTTCTCTTGCTCCTTCATGAAGAAAGCCTTAATAATTTGCAGTAAGTTGGTAGTGATACCACTGAACACAAGAATATGCAACCGAATATTCAGGCAACTGATTGATCTATCAGTTATCGAATACAGGTACATGTAAGTACCATATAATAGCAGGCCTTGAGCATCTGGTGATCACACCATGAATTCTTATTCACCAGGATTCCCAGCATCTTTTATCAGCCAATGTAATTTCCCGACAGAGATTGCGTAACCATGAAAGTGCCAGAACCCCAGTGGCCAGAAATTACTTTTGCTTGACTGAACAGCAAGTGCGGCATGCTTATAAATTTCTAATCATATGTTGAGTTGCATAAAGTTCATAATCAAAGTGTATTAATTCTTTGAAGGCTATAAAACCATGTTTTCCAATATGCTCACTGGACATGTGATCTCTATTGCAGATTTTCCTGGTCACACCTTTGAACCACTGTTACATTTAATGCTAACCCCCTTGGGTGTATGTAAGATCACACTGAAATCGGAGGATTTGGAACTGTTGGGGATGTTATGTATACTTGTAGGTGGGTCATTCCATGACGTTAGGGCACAAATTGTGACAGTGTCAGTTGGTACAAGGGCAACTTGTACCACCTGTCATGACCTGTAGAGGGGGTCATTTACTCTGTAAAAAAATACACACCTCTGTATTCAGCCTTCTAAGATGTATAACAATGTCAATTTGGACTCCACCTGCAGGGAAATAGCTGTTCATTTTACGGAACCCACATAACAATGGACACTGTCACAAATTGTGCCCCAACCTCATGGAATGACCTAGGTTAACAATGGCCTAGGAATGGATGTATATGTTGTTTACATAACAGCCAGTGCACAGCATACTCCATAATGAGACACACAGCAAAGTTTTATTTGCAGTGAACTGTCGGTACACTTAGAGTTGATTGGTCAGTTGTCAAAACAAGTGTATAACTTTTGTCCAGTTTCCTACCAGCAAGTTTCCCGGCGGAAATCTGACTTGAAGATGACGGAGCTTTGTGCTGTGACCAGCTGTCTGGCGACCAGACTCCACTGCCTGGCTTGTGCACGTGCTTGCTTGGTGAGCGGTTCCGCGTTCGCATTGTAGGGCTGCTACCTTTGGCATTCTGCTTACTGGAGCCACACCATTTATAATTAGGATGTGCCTTCATGAATGCCAGCTTGCACTGTATTCAGTAAAAAGTGAAGGTACAGGGTGAAATACTAACTGAGAAACATTTGTGGCTTTCACAACCTCAGTCACCTAGATTAACTGAATTATTACACGTGTATAACATTGAGATGCTTCCTTAATTGCATGAAAATGTTTCATATGTACATGTACTATGTAAGTTAATCAGCAAACTATCTTCAAAAAATGTGCGTAGATAATTTAACATTATTATTGAAATTAAGTTTCGTCGCAAATGGTTTTGGTTTTATGTCACCAGTTCACTGCAGAATTAATTGCAGAATTAAATGCAACTCACTGTTCCTTAATACACATATACATGTATTTGAATAAAGACTTGGATCTTTCTCAAGAAATCTGTCAAGTGTCAGAAGTTTGTCATATAGAATATTTATAGGCGACTAAAACACTAGGATTTCATCCAAACTTGATAAAGTTTGTCTTTGTTGTTTACTTTTATGACAAGATGATACCTGTATTATTATTTTGAACAGTGTCGGATTGCTTTGATACATTCTAAAACAACTCAAAGAGTCTTTGTCGACTTCATCAGTAACCATTCGGTTGCTCTCATGAACCACTTACAAATGGCGTTACCTCATATACATGTACTATTGTGTTGAAATGTCAAAGGTGGTTCCCATTCAGGGAAACATCCTAAAATCAAAGTTAACATTACTTCAATGAGTACATCGGATCAATTTTCAAGCTATGATTTTCAAAGTGGAGGTGGGGGGGGGAATGGGGAAGGTCAAATGTCAGACCATCATTTAGCATCG